AAAATCAGCATACATTTATGGAGCACCTATGATATGCAAAGCCTTGTGCTAAGCTCTGAGGGAGATCACCAGATACATGAAACTCAGTTCCTTCCTTCGAGATGCTCTTGTGCAAGTATATAACCAGCCCAAGGCAAGGAGACAGATGAGGTGAGAATGACCTACTGTGGTGAGTGCAGAAGAGATTTTCTTTGCAGTTGTGGGGAGGGAGGAGATGCGGGGTAGATGAGAGGATTCAAAAGTGCCCGTGCCTCTTCATATACTCCAGGGGCTCATGCCCCTTTGTCTATTCCAGTAAGTAAAGCCACCTCATGCCTAGTTAAAAGGCTCTGCCAGTTACTCAGTCCTTCCAATACAGAGCCCTTTCCCCAAAAGGATTGATTATCTTAGCAAATGTAAAAGCATCCCTTCCCTACTTCCATAAAATAGCCTGTTGGTACCCAGGAGCTGGCTCTCTGACCCGTTTAGCCTCTGGTTTTCAGCTCTTTTTGTTTGATTAAAAATAGTGATATACTGAGATGGCAAAAAGAGGAAAACTTCATGTAAAGAAAGGAATCCTTATTGCTTCCTCACATGTCAATACCACAGAGCTTTGTCCTGTTTACCCTGAATGGTTAACCTTCATGATTACACTCATCTATGTGATTGGAGACTATATGCCTGAGATAGTTCCTACAAGTTTTCCAATCAAAATCTGAATCCCTTGGGTCTCCAAAAATAAGCCTAATCAAAAAAATAAAATAGAAAAAGAATAAACAGTAAAAACAAACAAAAAAAATTGGGAAAACAAAACAAAGCAATCTACAGATTTAATGCAATCCCTCTCAAATTACCCAGGACATTTTTCACAGAACTAGAACAAATAATCCTAAAATTTACATGGAATCACAAAGGACCCCAAATTGCCAAAGTAATACTGAAGAAAAAGAACAGAGCTGGAAGAATAACCCTCCCAGACTGCAGACAATACCACAGAGCTACAGTCATCCAAACAGCACGGTAATGACACAGAAACAGACATGTGGGTCAGTGGAACAGAACAGAGAGCCCAGAAAAATAAATGCGCAGACTTATGGGCAATCAATCTCCAACAAAGGAGGCAAGAATATACAATGGAGAAAAGCCAGCCTTTTTGGCATTTGGTATTGGGAAAGCTGGACAGCCACATGTAAATCAGTGAAGTTGGAACACTCCCTCACACCATACACAAAATAAACTCAAAATGGCTTAAGAACTTAAACATAAGACAGGACACTATAGACCTCCTAGAAGAAAACATAGGCAAAATATTCTCTAATGGAAACCTTAGCAATGTTTTTCTAGGTCAGTCTCCCAAGGCAACATAAATAAAAGCAAAAATAAAGAAATGGGACCTAATTAAACATAAGCTTTTGCACAGGAAACTACAAAACAAAATGAAAAGACAAGCTACAGAAGGGGAGAAAATATGTGCAAACTATGTGACGGACAAGGGCTTCATTTCTAGAATACACAAACAGCTTATACAACTCAATAACAAACAACCCAATCCAAAACTGGGCAGAAGACTTAAACATTTCTCCAATGAAGACAGATGGCCAACAGGCACGTGAAAAATGTTCATTATCACTAATTATTAGAGAAATGCAAATCAAAACTACAAGGAGGTTATCACCTCACATTGGTCAGAAAGGCCATCATTAAAAAGTCCACAAATGATAAATGCTGGAGAGGGTGTGGAGAAAGGGGAACCCTCCTACACTGCCGGTGGGAATGTTATTTGGTGCAGCGATTATGGAAAACAGTATGGAGATTCCTTAAAAAACTAAAAATAGACCTACCCTATGATCCAGCAATCCCAGTTCTGGGCATATATCTAGAGGAAACTCTGTTTGGAAAAGATACATGCACCCCAATGCTCACAGCAGCAATATTTACAATAGCCAAGACATGGAAGCAACCTAAATGTCCATCAACAGATGACTGGATAAAGAAGATATGGTATATACAGACAATGGAATACTACTCACCCATAAAAAACGAATGCAATAATGCCATTTGCAGCAACATGGATGGACCTGGAAATTGTCATACCAAATGAAGCCAGAAAGAGAAAGAAAAATGCCATATGATATCACATATATGTAGAATCTAAAAAAATTATACAAATTAACTTATTTACAAAACAGAAACAGACTCATAGACAAAGAAAACAATCTTACGGTTACCAAAGGGGACAGGTGTTGGGGGGAATGAGTCGGGAGTTCAGGATTTGCAGATCCTAACTACTACATACAGAATAGATTAACAAGGTCCTACTGTATAGCACAGGGAACTATATTCAAATCTTGTAATAGCCTGTAATGAAAAAGAAAATGAAAAGGAATATATATGTATATATGTATAATTGAATCAGTATGCTGTACACCAGAAAGTAACACAACATTGTAAACTAACTATACTTCAGTAAAAACAAAGTGGGGGAAAAATGAAATTTTAAAAATACCAATATTTTCATGATGGTTTCCTCAAAAGGTTATAATATAAATATAGGCTTGTTCTTCTTCCCTTAAGTAAATATAGTTCCTGAGTGAGTTTTGGTTTTTTTTTTAAAGAAAAATACTAACACATACAAATAAAACTCATGGGGCCCCATGAAAAATGAGGAGACTTGGAGTGAGGTAACTTTGCTATCTGGATCTCTGTTTTCATCAGGATCTTCAAAGAAAGCTGCCCCTGGATTTCCCAGGGTTTCAAAGCACGCAGCATCGGTCACTGTGATAAGCATTTCTTAGGCCCCAGAACGGGTTGGGTTTTATGCTGTCCTGCAAGTACTGAATTTCACCCAAATAAAGACACTATGAAAAGGGATATTCAAAATTAACAAAGCTAAAATATCCACCCCCCTCTTGTTCCTGATCCTATCAAATTCTGTCATTCGTGAACCGGGCTTTTTTTTTTTTCCTGTTTAAAAATTGTTGTTTCAGTTTTATTTTTATTTATTTATTTGTAATGGAGGTCCTGGGGATTGAACCCAGGACCTCAGGCATGCTAAGCACTCGCTCTACCACTGAGCTATATACCCCACCCCAAAAATTGTTCTTTTAAGTGTGTGTGTCAGCACATGCACACACACGATACTCGTAAGCACTTAGTTCTGGTAAAAGTCAGTGCTCAATTTCAAGCCAACAGTTATTATAAACAACAGCAGCCCCCTCCCCCACCACAAGGAAAGGAAAATTCTCCCAGCGCTCTTTGAACCTCAAAGAGTGTTTGTATAGGCCAGCTCATTGTTTCTCTTCTCTCTGAAAAATTAGAAAGGATAACTGTTTTGATGAGTTCTACAGAAAAAGACAATTTCCATGATTTCATTTCTTGACAAAGAACAGCTACCTCACTTGCTTTCTGCCGCATGTAAGCAAACTCCCAGACGTAAAATCTCCCCTCAGAGGAAGCAGTGTGGCCCACAGAACCATCTTGAGTTCTGCCCCATCTGTGACGAGTGGCGGAGGGTGGGAGGGGACGCAACTGTCCCGTGTGCACGCAGCCTGCGCGCGGTGGCTCTGACTCTTAGGGTGGCTTCTGCCCCGTCACCACTCGATCTGGGTCGTCTCTCCACAAAAAACAAAACAAAACAAAAAAAACACCACCAAGTCCTGCCTGTCTTTTATAATGTTCTGTTTTAAAAGAGAGGAATCTCCAGGGAGAGAACAGGACCCTGAAAGTCCAAGGCCTGGAATTCTTCCTTTCTCTCTTGCCATTTTAAACAGGAAACATTCATGCTAAGAGGGTCCGGAGGGAGCGCTGGTCGTATGTTCATTTTAAGGCAGATAATGTTTGTGTGTTGCGAATGTCAGTGATTTATCCCAAGGGCTTAAAATGAGTGCAGAAAAACCACATGTTTCACTTCATGCAGAGAAATATCTTCTGTAGACTTTGAGAGAAAACACAGGTTAAGGATTTTAAGTGTTTCAGAAATCTCCAACATGAACCAAAAGGAAATAGGAATGAACACAGTGGGGGAGGTGGGGGCTTAAAATATTTTACGATAAAAGATATAATGAATGCTGGAAGTTTTCTAAATAAAAAATAACGTTCTAAAGGAAAGGGAAGATGAAATCCCCATCCTTTATTTCCCAGGGCTGGAGTGACAGAGCACACATTTGTGCTTTATTTGTCATGGGCAATTTAAAATAGAGCAAAGCAAACTGCACTGAATAATAGCAGTTGATGCTATAATAACTTGTACGCAAACAATGTAATTTTTTTATCTGAAAACTCTCACTAACTAAATTAACCCAGGCTCAAGGATCTATCTTTCATTATTATGCATAGCCAAATGAAGACATTACAAAGCAGAGCGAGAATTCTGTTGTTCATCCTTATGAATGTGTTCACATGCTGCTTTCCAC